CTATGCATCAGGACCATGTGCAAGTCTGGTATCAATGATTAGTTGGAAGTGGCTCCTTCATCGAATGTGATTTGTTCATTGGTTTTCAGAATTCTCTACCATGGTGTATAACCCAGTATTCTCCAGAAGTTCTGTCACCTTTTACTCTATGTTTTTTGGATATGTCTGTCAGTTGGTGGAAATGGGAAGACTTCTACAAACTTATAAAAAAAGGTGAATCTCTCCATTTCTCAATTTATTGATATCTTCAGAATCTGCTCTAATCCGAATGAGAGGAACATTCAGATAGAACATATAATAAACAAGTGCATATACTTGCATAAATGTCCAATTCTTGTTGTTCCTGTGCAATTTTTATTGTGGTTTTACTTATTTTATTTGCACTTTTACTATATCCCACTAACATAGGAAAGATTTTGCTGTCCATCCAGATTCCTCAATGGGTGCACATAAAATTTTCCAATGCACAGTTAGTGGTTCCTTAAGTAATGCTTTTTCCATCACAAGATGCAGCGGTTAGCCAATCCCCTTTGTTTCTCACAGTCAAAGACAGCATCCCCTGTTGCCCAGCAGCTCATCCTTCATTGGGCAACAAAAACACAGGATATGCAAGCGCACACATGCAGTTAACTATTCCTCATCAATCATTCACATGCTGGCACATAATTCTAGCACTGTACCTGGATTGCAGGGCATATACAGATGGGAGCTGGCTTATTTAATATTCTCACTCTTTATGGCAGTGCTGCACCAATGTTAGGGGATTACTTTGCTTATACATGTTTGATAGTCAGCTGATTGCTCTTTGGTGTTGACTGATATGGGGGGGGGGGGGGTTTTTATATAGAATATAAAAAGAACTTTTTTTTTTTTAAAGGGGAACATGAGCACTATGGTGGCAATGCTGCACAGACTAGATCAGCCTGAACAGTGCCACACCAAGAACAGTAAGGTAAATGGCATTTTTCCCCATATTTAAAGCTTTTGGAAATACATGGTACATATAGTTGGACTAATTTAATAGGTAGGCTTTTATGAAGAGTTTGTTTTGGGGTTTACCGACACCTAAACTTTGTCATTACATGCCTTATGGAAAGCACATATTAAACTCTACGTACCTAAAAAGGAATAAAACAGAAATTGATCCAAAGATGGTGGCGTCTTCATCAGCATATAATAATTCTGCTTTGTTTTTGTTGGGTGGATTGGCAGCTTCTTCATCCAAAAGCATTAGCAATGTTTTGATTGTTTCCCTACCACAAAACGCTGTGCCACGGTTGATTGCATGAATTCTAGGCTGTAAACAGAACACAATTCCATTATGCTTTAGTACAAACAAAAAAACAAATGGCTGTGTCTTAAAGGGAACGTGTTGTGGCTTTGTACAGATTTAATTCATTATAGTTAGGAATGACAAATAGAATTTTGTATCCTTTAGTTAGGCAAGCATGGAATGCTGCATATTAAAAAAAAAAAAAAGCCTGTAGGCCAGCCCAGGATAAATCCCCCTAACAGCATGTTTTTGATCATGCGCTAGAGTACTGCTTTGTTACAAAACTTAAGAAAGGGAAAGGACCCATGTCCCTCAATGGACTCCAAGAAAACCTGTAGTTTAATTCTCATTAATTAGGATTGTGTTGTCTAAAATTTAGTTTTGCTACTATGACTTTCATTGGGGTATATTTATTTTTGCAACATGGTCTTGAATGAATTGGTTAGAAAAATACTTTGTGTGTGCAAATTAAAAAAATCTTGGTTGCAATCAATGGCCAGCATTTGTGGGAGTATTTTGTAGTATAGTGTCCCATAGAAAATGTTGATTCCGAGAGGAAAGTAAAGGTTTTCTGACAAATCTGTTGGGTTGTACTGATCACACACACCACACAGATCTGCAAACACAAAGTGTTTGCAGATCTGCAAAGAAAAGCCCAGACACCAGGGCTGGATGTAATGTAGACTCTAAACACCTCTCCCCTCCCTGTTATTCATTGCAACATGATCAGTAAGCAGCAGCTCTGCCTTTGCACACTGTCCAGGGAAGGGGGCGTGTGTTGCCACGGGGGGGGGGGGGGTTGAGCAAGTGTATGACTATCCACATTTGCAAAGAACAATTGCAGCCACTTCCAATAGAAGCCTTAGCAAAAGGTGGTAATGGGCTTTAAGGAGCATTGGCTAACTGGCTTCTGGGATTTGTCCAGCCCTGCTCAAAGACCATGCAGATCAAATGCTTCTTGAGAAGGGTTCCACAGTCCAGCTCCTTAGCCAAAATGCCATATGTACCGACATTAGGAGCCTGCAGGAGAGTAGATGGGAGGCTTCCAGCAAACCATCAGAGCTGAAAATCAAAGCTACAGCCATCATCTCCACTCATTCAAAAAGAAAGGGATCAACCTCAGCAGTGGTTAGATGCGTTAAAGGATTTTGGTAGGATTTTTGTACACCTTGTCACACAGGCTTCTGATGGAGTACATGTAGTTATTTAAAAAACACAATGCAAAAGGCATGGTTTACTGTCATCAAGAAAGCCAGGTCTGCAAAATGTCAAAATGCAATCGCTGGAGTACATGCATGTAGACAAAGTGTTGCTGCAGGAAAATTCACAAGTTTACCCGTGCGGGACTGATTCCTGTGGAGCTCTCATTCTTCACTTCACTAGATAGAATAAGATTTTTAATCCTCAGATCCAAATCCTGTGCAACTTCCATCACAGCTTCACTAAACAGATCCCCGCTGCCTCTTCCTTTTATAAGATGCATCTTTATTGCTGACAAGAGCAGTTCTGCTGCAGTTCTGAAAGACATAGGCAAGGCCTAACCAAATGCTTTTATAGATCATACAGATTTGTAAAATTGTAATTAAAATTACCATAACACAGCACCCACACATTAACCAGCAATGCACTGCC